TTCATTGGAAGTATCTTCCCTAGCCCCTTGTGTGCCTCTGTGTGTTTGTTTTTTTTTTTTTTTTAAAGATTTTGTTTATTTATTTGTCAGAGAGAGAGAGAGAGCAAGCACAGGCAGACAGAGTGGCAGGCAGAGGCAGAGGGAGAAGCAGGCTCCCCGCCGAGCAAGGAGCCTGATGCGGGACTCGATCCTAGGATGCTGGGATCATGACCTGAGCCGAAGGCAGCTGCTCAACCAACTGAGCCACCCAGGCGTCCCTTTTGTTTTGTTTTTTAAGGATTTTATTTATTGGGGCACCTGGATGGCTCAGTCATTAAGCATCTATCTGCCTTTGGCTGAGGTCATGATCCCAGGGTCCTGGCATCCAGCCCCATGTTGGGCTCCCTGCTCGGCGGAAAGCCTGCTTCTCCTTCTCCTACTGCCCCTGCTTGTGTTCCCTCTCTCACTCGGTCAAGAAAATAAACAAAATCGTAAAAAAAAAAAAAAAAAGATTTCATTTATTTGCGAGAGTACGAACAAGGGGAGAGGGCGGAGGGAGAGCAAGCAGGCTCCCCGACACAGGACGCGATCCCAGGACCCTGGGATCATGACCTGAGCTGCAGGCAGACGCTTAACTGACTGAGCCACCCAGGCGCCCCTGCCTTTGTATTTTTTTGGGTTATCTTTTTAGATTAATAGCTACTTCATCTTCAAAACGAAGGTGTGGTCAGTGTGGTTTCAAGACGTCCGGCTCCCAAGCTCTGAGGCCCAGACAGGCCGCAGCTTTCTCAAAACAGCGAAACGAACCCTTGACCGCTAGACCCGTGGCGTCCAGACCCTGAAACCTGTCCGCCGAAAGGCGCTCACAAATTATCCGGGTCAGTGGTTTTGAAACCGCTGGCTGCCCTCCATTAGCTGCCGGGTCATCAGTTTAGTGCTCAAGCTCGGTTTTTAAATTAAATGGAAGAAACTCAACTTTAAAAGTACCGCTGTGAGCCACGACGTTCAACGTCCTTTCGGGCGTCGGTTCCCATCCTCGCGGGTGAGGAGCCCCGCGGCCCGGAGAGTCGCCTTGCGTCATTCCTGCTCGTCCACCCCGACGCGGCCCGTGGGACCCGCCGGACTCACTCCTGCACGCCCATTCTAGGTAGCAGTGTTCATCACGTGTGCGACCACCCGGGGTCTCAGGGCCATCAGCCTGGATCCCGACAAGCCTCTGCAGCCCATCACTACCTGCCATGAGATCACAAATACCAGTTCACGAACGTTCTCGCCGACTAGAAGGACGTACCAAAAGGACAAGTATTTTGTCCAGGCACTACTGTACCTCTAGCTCCCGGAACAGGGATGGCGTTTCCGAGAAACCGCGGAAGTATGTGTTACTGAGTGAGCAAGAGCCGGGAGGGGACAGTCTGCAGGAAGCCAGAAGCAGAGCTCATCCCCTTTCCCTTCGGACAGGGCACCACACCTGCCACCTGTTCCTGCAACGGCTGACCCACTCCGGTTCACGCATCACCGACAAGTAGCCAAGGGAAGGAGTCTGGAGGCCTCAGGCGGGAAGAGGAAGGAAAAAAGGCTCTTCGAGGGGGAGTTTCTGGGAGCAAGTCCACAGCGAGCCCGACCGGAGTCCACGCTGCCCCCAGGTCTGTGCGTTCATCCTGCGAGTTTCCGCTTTCTCCGTGCTCCGGGCTCGTCCGCGATCAGCACCTTCAGGCTCCGCGCACCCTCCGGGACACGAAGTGGTTTCAAAGCATTATCTGGGCCCTGGCGTGTCAGATTTCACACACAGCGGACAGGACACACGAGCTCTCCTCGTCCAGGGGCTCTCGCTCGTCCATGCTGCGCTGAACCAGCAGAGCCCACGGACCGCTGGGGATAAGGAGGGAGCAGAGGGCGGCAGCGCCCGACCCGGGACAGAGAAGGCCGGAGAAGGGAGGGAGGTGGAAACAATCGGGCCTGGGGAGGTGTCCTGTCCCACGGTGTCTAGAAGCTGACCCCTACGACCCTGCACCTGCTGGGGAGGGAGGAGAGACCCCAGAGCCCCCGCCCCCTGCAGGAGGGAGGAAGTCACTTGGTGACCGCGATCTCCTCCACGCATCGCTGCAGGGGACGCGGTGGCTGGTGGAGGCAGCCTGGCACACGGGGGGCTCTGCGGCAGGAGGCAGCGCGGCCGGAAGTCTGCTTCTCCTAGCTCAGGCCAAGTGCACCCGAAGGGCTTATGTAACTGAGCGGGGGTCTTCAAACGCCCACACCTGCGCAAATGCTCCCTCGCGCTCTGGTCCTTCCTTTACCTACTTCTGGGCAGGATTTGGGCCACGTCTGTGGGGACCTGTCGGTCCAGTGCACGAAAGGAGGTCCCGCACTAGGGGGGACAAGCCGGGTGCTTGCTGAGGCCAGCTTAGTGGGAACCACAGCCACCCCACATCCCGAGGATGGGTGACCCTCGGAGGGAACAGCTTGCATGACTTATCGCAGATGTTCTCGCCTTGGAAAACACCCAGCAGATGGCAGGAAACGGGAGACACGGCAAATAAATTCAGAGGTTTTATTCCGTAAAGCACATATGCACATACTCCAACACAGAAAATTAACCTGGGAGTGAACGCCGTAACAGATCAGCTACTGACCATCATGCAGAAGGTAAGCGAGACGGGTCCGTGGGCCCTCGCAGCCCCACGGTGCCTGCAGGAGGGCTGGAAACCGGGATGCGGAATCCCCACAGACCGCCAAAGAAAATGCAACCCAAACGTAGGCTCCTAGTGACGAGAAAAACTTACAAATAGAATCAAAACTGATTCAAGTCATACAGTGAAAGGACAAAAGGAGAAAGGAAAGAGATCAATATGATCTGAAACGACCACTGAGAGCTGCTGACCCTGACTGGGCCTCCGGTCCAAGACGCCTGAGAACGCCCAGGGCTCCCATGCGGGGTCACTCGCAATGGCACCTGGGCCCTGCTGGGACGCTCTTCTGCTCCCGAGGTCCCCCGGGCAAGACGTGGCGGAGGACCAGGCCTCGTCTGCAAGCGCCCGGATGTGACAGGACTCCGGACGTCCCAGAGCCCACCGGAGTCTCTTCGGTGCCTAGACCTTTGCACCCAGGTCCACGGCCTCTCCGCTTGCCCGCCCTCCTTCAGACACCTGACGGACCCTGGGTTTCCATAAGATCTCTGAGAAATTACCTGCCAGAGTGAACGCTGGATTTTAAAGTGTGTGTCCTTCCCTCGTGACAAGTCATACTGTCGAGGCATTTTTGGCACTTCCTTCCCTCATGCCTAAGAGTCCCTCCGCCCCTGGCTACAGATTCCAGCCACTCCCTGTCATTAAAACAAGGACATTCATATTAGCAACAGCTGGATTGAACATGCCAGAGAAACGGACTCTTTTCACCTTTCTCCTTTCATGGCACTCTGCCAGTTACAGACCTCTCCCTCTAACTCCGCCTCACTGGGATTTCATTAATTCAGTAGCAGCTTAATCTAAAATCTGTTGGTCTTGATACTAATGTTTCTAAAGGTCATGCCAAATGGCTCTCTCTCTCCATCTTGTCTCGTAAAAGTCTCAGTCTCTACAGAGAAAACTAAATACACGGGTTAGCCACGCATCACGTAAGCAACTAAAAAAAACTGGATAGACAGTATGATTACTGTGCTTGAGATGTACGAAAAGGAAAAAAAATGGGGGGATATTGACATATTCAGTTACTACAGTGATTACTTTAATAATCTTCGTTAAGAGCCCACAACTGTCTTCCATTGGAGAATGCCTGGGACCACATGTTTGAGGCCAATTATTTTAGACAAAGGACTGATCTGCAATTTGGAACAGACTACAGACGGACGTTGAGGGAAAGAAGTGCTGACAGTCACGTCCAAGGTTTTAATTGCCCTTCGGCTCCACACCACTGCTTGGGGGAACACAGAGGTCAGTCACGACAATGTGTTTTTAATGCAAAGAGCTGTTACAAAAAATAGTAAGAATACAAGTAACAAGAAAGGACTAGGAAAAACCACGCAATTTTTTTTTTTTTTTACAAGACAGATTAGAAGAAAAAAGAGATAAAGGGTCTAGATCATCAAAGTGCCACAGGAAAGAAAAATGCTTTTTGCTTTCCTCAGACACGGCAGATCAGAGCTGCCTTCCTTCCAGTTCCACCGGCACCATGACACGCCCGGATCTACCAGCTGCCACTTCCTTCCGAGACATGTTCACTGCAAAGACATAGATGCAAAAAGCAGGAGGAAGAAAACCCACTCCCTCTTCAAGGAAGACAAGAAACTCCTGCACAACTATTAGGCTGATCAGCTTTCTCTTTCCAAACTGCCGTCAGCATTCCAGCAAGCAGAATAGCTAATTTCTACTCTAGAGCCATTTACTTCATTTTTGAGCTCTTTTGAGTGAGGATGCTGCTTTAACTTTTATAATCCAGGAAAGGGACAAGAGAGGAGAAGACAGTGGAAGATTCTGTGCCAACTCGACTCACACAAGACCAGGTTCCTCACCGTCCGTATGGAAAATGAAACTTAGATCTTTACCGTGTAGGTGATGTTTCCATAGTTAACTTCTTACTCAAGATGAAAGCACAAGTCTGCCCTAACTAGAGTAGTATTAAAATGTGACTATTTTACTTTTCTTTTCAAAGAAAAAAAAAAACAAAACAAGAAACTAAGAAAGACAGGCATGTTTCCTTGCAAGCAAAACGGAGAAAACGGGATTACTGTTGTCACCATGATCATTAAGCCACAGACACGTAAAATCCACAAAACGGACCGGTGGCTTTGGAAATGCAGTATCACATGGAAGGTGCGGAGGGTTTCCGACATTGTGCACGCTCGGGCTGAGACAAGGACCGAAGCAAACCTCAACCCCGCCAGCAATGAAATGCCCGCGACCGCGGGGAAGACAGCACGGTCTGCTCTGCTGCAGCGAGCTCCCCGTCCTCCCGGTGGCGCAGGCTCATCCCCCCAAGTCCGCGGGGGGCTGAAGGCTTTCGGCTGCACCCAGTGCAAAGCACGTGCATCATCGGACCAATTTCTGAACAGGTTTTTATAAATATATACAAATCAGTTACAGGCACTTGAAATGTCTTTGGCTGGAATAACCCAACATTGCGAGATAATATATTCACAGAGTGTCCAGGCCCAGGCTGGGTTCAGCAGGCATTGATTATGGTTCTCTCCGTCTCTCTTAGAGAACGGGCAGTTGTGGGATTAGGCATCGGCCAAAGCCACCTGAAAGAGAACACGATGAGCGATCCCGCCACACAGCAGAGCCCACGTAACTCAGTCCCACCAGCGCCCTCACTGGGTTCCAGTCTCCAACCAAACACCGGGAGCTACATGGCAGGCATCTAGCGGGCAGAGGAATTACTAACTCCCTAAGAAAAAAGGATCTCACTTAGCGGGGCATGAACAGCTACCCGAAAGTCTCCGCAGCGAGCGGCCGATCCAGCGGAACCCCCCTGCCGAGACAGAGGTCGTGGTTTTGAAACCGCGGTCGGGATTCTGCGAGGTGGCTCCTCAGCTGACAGAAGCAGATGGGAAGCAGCCCTGGCAGGGTCCGCTGCCCCCCACCCCACCCCGGGGCTCTGAGAACAGTTCCCAGTTCCCAGCTATGCAGTGGGTGTGCGGCTGAAAATCCACCACCACGGTCTAGGCCGAGGGCAGACCACTACAGATACACACAGGACCTAAGCTCTCTGCAGGAGACGAGCCGCCAGCCATAGAGGGAATCAGGGCCACGCGGGACTTTCAGTCTGCAGAGACCCCCGGCAACAGTGCTGGGCCACACCTGTCCACTGCTCACCTTCTCAGGACAGAAGTCGGGATTGCTCTGACGCAACTTGCTGGGTCTGCCTTTGATGACGGCGTAGCAAAACATGGTTATCACCATCACGAAGAGGAAGTAACTGGTGTGCATGAGATGCAAATTTATTAATGAACGGTCGTCCTGAATAAAGAGAACAAGCCAGAAACATCGCACTGAGTTGCTGGAAGACGTCACTGCTAGGATTCTGGAAACGGGTTCATAACCTCCAGACTCACCTCAACTTGAATTCTTAACTGGAAGGAGAGAGGGTTCTCTTCCTCTTCTAAACTATTAAAACCAGGTCTAAGTAAAGACGCTGTTCCTGTGGCCACCCACTTCTTCCTAAGGCAGCCCCTGCCCTGGCTTCTGCACTCCCACACTGCCCAGGACCCTGCCCCAGGACCCCCCGCCCCCAGGAAGCCCCAGAGACCCAGGGGCTTTAACCCTTACCCTTCTCCTCCATCCCTTCCTCTGACAGCCCAAGCCTGTCTTTCCCAATCCTCCCTGCTCTCCCGCCAAGAAGGCCTTTCCCCATGGGCAACTTCCTTCTGTCTTGTCCTCACTTTCCAAGTCCCTGATTCACTCCTCTCTGACCTCCCGCACACGGTCACCATCACCAGGCCTGCCAGGTGCCGCACGCCGGCCCTGCTTCCGCCCCCTTTCCTTCACACACACGCACCCACACGCACACACCTCCAGGCCTCAAAACATCAGCCTTGGGCCCGTGGGCTCCAGCCCACAAACGATCATCGGTTGGGCAGACCCGTCTCCCTCAAGCACTGCTGTGCAAGGCCCTACAGCCCAAACGCACGAAGTCCAAAAGCCTCGGCGAGGCACCGACGCGTCTTCTGGCCCCTGCCCAGCACCCAGCCTGGCTGCGCTGCTCAGTCCCGCAGCCCCAGCCCACCAACTGCTACAGCTTGACAGAAGAAAGAGGAAAGAATCAGGCCAAAAGTCTGGCTACCATATACCGACAGGAAGAAAAGTGCGGACACTTAGAACAATCCGTGCAGTCCATTAAAAGCGGGTTCAAGGCTGGGCAGGAGGCCGAATGAGCCCCAGCAGGCGGGTTACAGCGTCTTCCTCGTTAGGTAAAACCCTACCGGCCCTCAGTATCTCGCCAAAGACTCTTCTCCTCCGATTTACTTCCACCTTCATGAATTCCACACGATTTACCATTTGTGTTCACACCAACCCAATACTCCCGGAGTGACCATGGGAGTGAGCAGACGGTACGTGTGTCCCTGGAACACGACGGCCGCGTGACAAACGTAACCGCTGGTGACCAAAGCAGAAAACGAAGAACAGATGCGGAGTGTCCTTAACGGACGGGGTGGCAGCTCAGCCCAGGTCCCCGCTACCGCCCCTAGTCTCCTGGCCCAGCTGGAAATCTAGAAGGGGACGGGCCAAGCACACTCAAGGAGGTAGAGAGGGCCTAGGTGACTGTCCCCAGATGCAGGGAGACAGACAGACACACACACACAACTTCTCTCACTTACGTCCGGAACAATAACTGTAAGCTTGGGATTCAAAGCGTGATAGACTTTTCCAATGGCCCCCTTGTAACACCAGAAAGGGTTGTAATCCTGAGCGTATTTTGTGTTGGCGTCTCTTGCGGTTGTGAAGATCTTGTACCAGAGCGTGGCGTTGCTGTACGTGTCGGGAACACAGTGCGGTGGCTGTCTGCGGGGCAGAGAGCACAAGACAGGGCTCAGCGGCCTGACGCCCTCACCCGGGCCTCCCGCACGGCCCCGGCGCCGCACTGAGCATGGCGTCCCGTGTGGAGAAGAGAAAGAGGAGACACACATTTCTTTAAGATGAAGACCTTTACGCTCGTTTTAGCTCACAGGCTTTTATTTTTAACTTAACAAACACCTAACGGAGTAAGAAACGGCATCCGACACTTACAAGTCTGCTTGTTAAGGTTTCTGGCTTCACAAGTCAACCAACCATGGTTCTCTTCCCTGTGATGTAGCCAAAGAGAGGCCTGGTCCTTTTAGGCCCCTTTTTGTAAATTATCTAAATTCTCAGTCACAACTGAAGGTTTTATACACAAACTTCTCCAACAGCAAGTGACATTTAACTTATCTGATCTTGTCCTACAAACCTCCGAGTATCTAAAACAGATAGGTCCCAGAGTAATTATTTTTTGAGGGAGAGCAAGAGAGCGCGCGTGCACGTGCGCAGGGACAGGCAGAGGGAGATTCTCAAGCAGACTCGATGCCCAGTGCAGAGTCCGACGTGGGGCTCCACCTCATGACCCCGACATCATGACCTGAGCCGAAATCACGTCCGATGTCAACTGACTGAACCACCCAGGCGCCCCCCAGAGTAATTCTTCAAAAAGAATGCATCTACATTGCAGGTTAATAGAAATAATTAAATAAAAAACCAGAATTCATCTTAGAATTCTCTTAAACTGGCTACATCTTACACATTTCATGCACTTACGGATCATTATCTCCATTATAAAGAGGCAAAAAAACCCCAACCCTTAAAACTTATCCACGGTGACAGGGACAGCTGCTCAAAACACAGGAGGTGTAAGTTTCAGCAACAGACACGGTTTCAGGGAAAGACTCATTTATGCTCTCGGTCACGATGACCAAAGCTTCATCGTTCCGGTGGCTTCCTCGTAAGTCATGCCGGTGACACGTCAGCTCCTACTTACTCGGTGTGACGCGCTTGCGCCGACAGGACAGGCGGCCCGGCACGGCAAACAGAGCGGATGTTTTCACTCCCTGCTCAACCACTCACTCACTCAGATCCTCAACGCCAAGTTCTACTTTAGGGTTCCAAACTCAACTCAGATAACCCTTTAGACGGGCCCGCCGGGACAGCCGTGCCCAGTCGTTTACCACAAGCTTCCCCGAGAACCTGCCCACGCGCCCCAGTCCCACTCCTGGTAAACGGGGCTTCCGGCGCGTAGGCACGGGGTTCTGGAAGACACTTACACGGTGACGGGGAACACACCAGGGTTGGCTGTGAGGGTCATGCACGTGGTGAACACCACCTGCTCGCAGTGACTGTGAAGGGCACAGTCGTCCGAACTCCAAGCTGTGGGCAGGGTAAAGGTAACGTTGATCTCCTCATGGGCTTCCCTGCCTACGAAAGAGAAATTGGGGGGCAGGGAGGGAGAGCGTTGGTAAATCAAGGTAGGAACTCATCTATGTATTATGCTCTGCGATTCCAAGGAACCCTGGAATCAAACTCACCCAGGAATCCCCTATCAGCGGGACATCTGCCTGTGCGGGACTTCAGGAACGAGAGCTTGGAGCCGGACTCCGAAGCCTGCTCACCCGGGGGATCCAGAGTGTGGCAAACGGAAAGGAGCCACTGTTAGCCAGGGCCTGGAGATGCCAGGCAACAAGGGCCCCCAGTGCCCACGGTGGAAATTTGGGGGCTGGCTGAGTTATTACCTCCGCTGTTTTAGCACCTGTACGGCACTCATGCCATTTCCAAATCGCTTTTACATGTATCACTTCACATGAAACACACGCCATCCCACAAACATGACCAGAGAAGCGTTACTGTTCCCTTCCATATATGAGCAGACCAAGGATCGGGGGGTCTACCAGACTTCAGGAAGGTTGGGAACTGATAAGGGATAAAGAAGCTTCAACGAAAACCAAGGTCTAGGACCATAGCAGAAGGAGACGGTCCACCCGCTCCCAGAGTCACCTTCCCTCACTCCTGTGGGAACAGCTCTCAGCCGGAAGAGCCAGCAGAGGTCGGCCAGGCACTCCCAAGTTCCTCCAAGGACGGAGAGGCCCTTGGTAACAAAGAACCAAAGACTATTCTTCTAAGGTCTGGGCCTCTGTAGGAAGCCTTTCCTAGTCACTCCAGCTTCTACTACGTTCTCAACAGTCTGTCACAGTCAGAGCCCCCGACTGGTCCAACAGCAGGGCTCAATGTTCTATTGATGGTTATTTTCACTATTTTGTTTTTTTTTTTTAATTTAAGAGAGAGGGAAAGGGCACAAGCAGAGGGAGGGGCAGAGGGAGAGAGAGAAGCAGACTCCCTGTTGAGAGGGGAGCCCGGCACTTAGTATAGCATCTCCTTTGTGCCAGGAACTATTGTTAAGTGTTTGATAAATATTAACTCATATTCTATTTGTCTCTTCCGTGATCCTAAAATTCCAACAGACAAGACCACGTCTTGGGCTTTTTCTTGTTCTTCCCAGCAGCTTGCACGGTGCGGAGCTCATGTGGGTGTGCGTTCGAAAATTCGTAGACTAGTAACAGTATTTGTAGTATGTATCGAAAACTCTACGATGAAAAGCCTGAAAAAAAATTTTGTGTTTGTAAAAATTAAAACTGGAGCTCGGCCTTAAAGTCTCCTCTCAGTCGCTGTGTTGAGAGCCTACCGTACACCAAGCACTTTAGGTGAAGACGTAGCACAAACGGCTCCTTCTTGACTTCATTTAGCTCAAAGTCAAGAAAAGAGGACACATGTAAAAACAATCTGACGAGTAAAAACCATATACCACTGATACTCTGTCTTGGAAGCTGCTGCCTCAGAAAATCTGAACGGAAAAGGGTGACATCACATACCCGAAAGTCCAATCTGATGGCCCAGAATGGTGGAGCACAGATGGGTGACATTGCGGGAGTACCCTCCGAAGGGCTTCAGCGGGTCCAAGGTCAGTGTGATGGCCACTGAGATGTTCAGTGGGCCCGCGTCCTCCAGGGCCTGCGGGGACTGGGTGGACGCTCTGGCCTGCCCGCTGGCCGCCGTGCTCTCCGGGGTTGTGGTGTCGTTTGTGAGGTGCTTCAGTGTTTCGTTCTCGGACACACACAGGTCCAGATCGTTGAACCGCAGCAGAAACGTATTCCAGTCCTGCGGTGGGAGAAAACAGAGGTGTAAGGAAAGCAAGTAAGAGCTGCCTGAAAGTGCTGCCCCTGGCACCCTACAGCCAGGACCCCTGGGTGGGGTCACTAGAGCCACAGAGCTAAGCACTGACAGTAACAATGACAATACAGCCATCAGCCTCTGGCACGGGGATAACGGGGCTGGTTTTCCAAACCACCCTCACATTCACAATCTAAAATACGAACTCTTCACTGGCACGAGATATTAAATAAACTAGGAGATTAAACTAGCTTATTCAAGAAAATGTGTAAAAAAATAGCGTATTATACTTAGAGAAAATGATCTAGCTTGAGAACAAAACTTGAAAAGAAAGCTTGAATGAAAGTAGTGAAACATTAAAAGCATTAATCCAAATTTACTTAGCGGATGTGGTTAGTTACTTGTTTTTTCTAAGACTTTACTTTTAAGTAATCTCTACGCCCAACGTGCCGTTCAGACTCACAGACCCAAGATCGAGTCACCCACTCCCCTGACAGAACCAGCCCGGTGCCCTGCGATTAGCTGTTTATTTTTTTACACAAGGCTGCCTGGGGGTGCCTGGCTGGCTCAGTCAGAAAAGCATGCGACTCCTGGCCTCGGTCAGGGTCGGGAGTTTGAGGTCCACGTTGGGTGCAAAGGTTACTTAAATAAAGAAAACTAAAAAAATAAATAAATGAAGCTGCCTTAAAATAGTGCCTGGAAAGGTCAGTTCACCACAGTCGATACCAACACCAGTGTGGCCCCTTGTCATGGCCTTTGAATCATGACCACCTTAAAGCAGAACTTAAAAAAGGAGGAGAAAAGATGTTTTCTGGCGTCTCTGCACTTCTGTATTGGCGGTTTAAACCATAAGCAGTTTTAAATACATACACAGCTGCTTATGTCACGGTTCAACCGAAACCAACAATAATAAAGTACTCACCGGGTTCTATTTTAATTTAATTTTCACAAAAAAGCAAAGATGAACTCGGGCTGGAAGGGAAGAACACACTAGCCCCAGCTGTGACGCCGACTTCCTTCAGGCAACGTTAGTCTACAAGAAGCTGTCAGCTGTGAGGACTAACCGAGTGACACTTCGGTCACTCTAACACTAGCCTCGCCTGAAAGTGCTGCGCCACGTCCTTGCACGAGGAGCAGGGGAGGGGAGGGGAGGGCAGGGCAGGGCAGGGCAGGGCAGGGCACCGCCGCAGCAATCCTGGAGATGCCAGCAAGTCCACCTTTAGAGAACCCGGTCCATCCGTCTGCGGCAGCCGGTGCATCAAACTACACTCCCCCCAAACCTACAGAGTCAACCGACCACTCAAAAACACTGGGGCTGAACAGGAACATTCTAGTACATTCCTTCATATTCCAGACATGAGGGAACTGAGGCCGAGGCAGCTTTATGGACTCTCTAATTCCATAGTTGACGGCAGAAGCAGGATTAAGTTCTTTGATTCATAGCCCCGAACTTTTCCCATATTCCTAAGATCCTCATTTGAAAATAAAATCATGGGGGCGCCTGGGTGGCTCAGTGGTTTAAGCCTCTGCCTTCGGCTCAGGTCATGATCTCAGGGTCCTGGGATCGAGCCCCGCATCGGGCTCTCTGCTCAGCGGGGAGCCTGCTTCCTCCTCTCTCTCTGCCTGCCTCCCTGCCTACTTGTGATCTCTGTCAAATAAATAAATAAAATCTTAAAAAAAAAAAAAAAAAAAGGAAAGAAAAGAAAAGGAAAGAAAATCACGAAGTCGATCATGACCAAAGTTCTGCACCAGCTTGGCAATGCCTTCCTGCAGACCTCGAGTCCATTCTGAACAGACAGCCAAAGCCAATGTCAGGCACCATTCCGATTACTAAGGACTAATCATCCAGGCTGCCTTAACCACTTGTGCCGGCCAAGTGCTCAACGTGCTGTTGGGCTCTGAGGGAAAGCAATGCCAGGATGCCGCAGAGCCCCGGTTGTGACTAGAATATTCGTTTTCAGCCCTAATGTGGGCACAGGCTATCTGCACGACCTTTAAAGACTCAGGCAGAGTCAGGGCAGAGGGAGAGCTGAGCCAGCCTGTACACTTGTTGGTTAGAAACAGTTTGAAAGGGTTTCATGGCAGAAATAGCTAACACTTGTCACTTAAACTGTGTGAAAAAGTTCACTTGTGAAGGGGACCCCTCCTGCCAAGGTATTCTCGGATCTAGAGCACAGAGCACAGAGCAAGCCAAGCCCCCCATTACACCGAGGAAGAACCCTCCTCTCCTGCACAGGGCGCACACAGGCAGGCACAGCGCAATCCCAATCCCCGCCCCCGTTCCCGCTCCCACCAAGGCACGCAGCCCAGAAGAAAAAAGTTAAGAGAAGGCACCCCAGGAGTCTACTAAGGCAGGAACTCATTTGTCCTAAAAGAAACCTGCAACCACCAGCAATTTACCATAACTTTAATTCAGCATAATTCCTAATGTCAAATACATTCTGTAATAGGTACATTATCATGCAGCTCCATTAAATAAGAACTGTTAACTTTGTGTTGTTTTCTTTGTATACGCAAAAATACATCTTTTAAAATCCGTATTATGAGAGTTCAAACTATTATCTGCCTAGATTAAGGTTCAAAGGGCAACACCCTAATAATTTATTTAAACTGACTACAATGTAAAATCTAGAAGGCCAGTTTGTAGAAAACGGAAGCTCTGCTTAATAAAAACAAATATATTCGGAAATAAGATCCAGCTTTCTATTTCTTCAGTGTCCCTTCTCAGGCAACAATACTGGCTTCCAGTCCGCCACTAAAACTCCGTGATGACATATGGCTTCAAAAGAACAAATGTTTACAGTTTTTAAAAACAGCAATTAGCTAATTCAAAACTTTAATAAATTTGTGATTTATTAAGTTAATAATAGCAAGCGTGTTAGTCCTCTATGCTCTGCACACTTGACAATATACTTCCAAAACGCACGTGTCATTGCTGAGGCGGTCTACCTGAAACTGCACCGTTACTTAAACCAACAGCTGTCTGACTAGACACATTCACAGTGAGCCACAGGGAGATGGAAGACGGATGCTGGGAAAAACGCTGCTTTCTCACTGCGTTCGAAGGAAAGGTGTGTGGAGAGCCCAAGGCTGTTCCCTTACTGTGTAAGGTCTGGCCATCCCGAGAGGAGGACTTGGAACATACGATACCTCCGCCATTTCCGGTGACTTAATCTCCTTGATTTTGAAGAAATAGCCCAAGGTCAGGAAAGCTATTGCCATGGCGCTGACACTGATCATAAAGACCACGAGGGGAGGCCGACTGCTGATGTACAGCTTCAGGTTCTCCAGGGGGTTGACGCTGAACATTATTCTCATCAGCTCCACCTGAAAGGGACGAATCATTAGACTCATGGACCGTCTCGCCCAAAGAAACCCTATGATCCCCACTGTTGTTTCCTTCCCTGGCACTGGGCGCGTGAGGAGGTCACTCACTACGGAACTTGAGAAATGTCGGATCACAAATCTACTGCAAAGACTAGAAGGAAAAACACTAAAGTGAACTGTCACTATGTCACAGTGGTGACCTTAAAAGCTACGCATTTCTCTCCTTCCGTCTGAATCTTCTAATTATTCCATGATGAACACCGCTGTTCCCATAAGGCCCACTGACAACAGCACCAGCTGTTTTCACTTAAGATAACGCTGAAGGAGGTCCCTAACACGACACAAACACAGGCCAACATGCACAGAAAGCAAGTGAGGATGTGCTCATTCCCTACCACTGGAAGGTTCAACATTCTGCCGTTCCTGCCATCCTCACGCCCATCCCAGCAACTGGCACCGAGAGACACGTAATAAATGTTTAACTGAACCACTTCCCTGCTTAACGCCCCCTGAGGCTTCCCACAGGGCCTGGGAGAAGATGAGGGACCCACATGGCGCACAGGTTCCATGTTCCAGAAGCCCTACCAACCTCAGCGACTGTAGGATCGGCAACTTCCGTCCTCCCTCACTGGGCTCTGGCACTGGCCTTCCGATCTCCTAGGACCAGCTTGTCACTTTGTGCAAGGACGTCAGCCGGGACTGACTGGGGACCTCACTGGCCCTGCAGGTCAGTTTGCGGATCAGCCTTCTTAACAATACTGGCTTCCAGTCCCCGAACCTTCCCACTTACTTCGGTTTTCTCTAATAAACAACTTTTGTAGCTTCCAAAGTATACCTCTACACTTCTTTTGCCAAATGTATTCCTAAGTATTTCATTCTTCTTAGAAATTCTGAATTTCCTCTATGAAGCCATTTCCCCCCAAATCTCCACCTGCTTACTCTTCTTAAAATGCAGGTTTCCACTCAGCGGTCAGTCAGCTCCTCAAAGAGGCCTTCCCTGACCACCCCGAGCCCCCCGCCTCTTTCAGACTGTTCAGTACCAGTCGAGAGGACAATTCTCTACTTGTTTGCTGTCTCTCCCTGCTGGTCTCTGAGCTCCGTGATAGCAGAAATCTTGCCAATTTATTTTTTTTTAAGATCTATATGTTTTAACAGATACTGCCATATCCCTTTTTTTTTTTTTAAAGATTTTATTTATTTGGCAGACAAAGATCACAAGTAGGCAGAGAGGCAGGCAGAGACTCAGCTCCCTGCTGAGCAGAGAGCCCGACGCGGGGCTCCATCCCAGGACCCTGAGACCATGACCTGAGCCGAAGGCAGAGGCTTAACCCACTGAGCCCCCCAGATGCCCCGAAATCTTGCCAGTCTTATTCACTGCTCTAGCCCCCTGGTTCCTGGCCCCTAGAACAGGAGCTGGCACACAACAAGCAATTCTATACATGAACAGACGACAACACTAAAAAAAGCAACTAAAGAATAAAAAAATCTGTAACAGCTTTTAAGTTTGAGAGAAAAAGATGCATCAACTCGCCCTAAGAACGAACAGCCACCACGTGGGTGCAGTGAGCCAGGCGGTGTCCTCCCTCATCCTCACCAAGAGTCCTTTGAGATGTAAAATAATATCCTTTGTGCTCCTCCCAGAGCAACACCCCCGCCCCGTGTTCTGTGTACTTTTACTACACACACACACACACACACACACACACACACACACAATTACCGGCACTGCACGTGGAAACTTGCGGAACATGATACATTGACTATCTTCTGACGCTATTCTCATTTACAAGGTTGGAGCTTTATCTCTGCAGATCGCGTCTGCCGGATGCACCGGCTACACCGTGTGCAAGTGCGGCTGAGCCCTGGGGTCCTCCCAGTTTCCCACACCAGGCCCTGCAGCTCGCACAAGAGGGGCCCTGGGCCACAGGGCAGGCCCCTCGGCCACCGGGCCGGGTCACGCCACACAGCTCTCCAAGGAGGTCCTACCGGCAACAGAAGGGCTCAGGCTAGTTCCCGACCTTAGGACCAACACTCGACACTCTGAAGCAAGCTTACTGACTGGGACCAATAAGATCGCTGCGAAATGTTACCTCGTTATTTTTTTTTAATTTTTATTTTTGTGAGAGAGCACGCGCGTGAGTGTGAGCAGGAGCGGGGCAGAGGGAGAAGCAGACTCAGCTGAGCAAGGAGCCCAGGGCGGGACCCTGGGACTGTGACCTGAGCGGAAGGCAGAGGCTTCAGGGCTGAGCCCCCAGGCGCCCTCCTCACTATTTAGATTGCATCTCCCTCAAACTGACCGTTTCCACTGCCTTCTCAGCACTCAGGCTCTTCCTAGGGAAACTGCCTCAGCCTTCTGGCTACTTACCAGCCTTTCGTCCGTTTTCATTAACGCTCAGGAGTTTTAGATTCTGGAGCCTAAGCCTTTTCCAGTTTTTTACGTTGCACATAACGTAATGTACACATACGTTATGTATATGTTACATATATACGTATCTATACATATGTTATGTATACATTCTACTTGACGACTTCTGTGGACTTTCCTTAATACCGTTTATGGTACCTTCTACCATATGAAAGGTTCTTGTATTTTTTCAACAACTCTCTTGATATATAATTTACATATAATTCACCCATTTAACGTGTACGAATCAACTCACAAAACTGGGCAACCTTCACTATAATCAATTTTCAAACATGTTCATCGTCTCATAAAGAAACCCCCCATGCTTTAGGAGTAACCCTCATCCCCTCCGGCCCTAAGACAACCACTAACACAGCTTGTCTCTACAGACCTGCCCATTCCAAACACTGCACAGGAATGGACTTGCAGTATGTGGCCTTTGGTGACTGGCTGCTCTCCCCTAGCACGGTGTTTCCGGGTTGGTCCGTGATGTCCCATGTATCAGTACTTCCTCCCTTTTTGTTGCCAAAAATATTCCACTGTACGAAATACTTTATTCATGTATTTTGCATATCCACGCATCAGCTGATAGACACTGTTTCTAGCAAGTCAAGCTGCAACAAACATGCATGTGTCATTTATTGTATGGACACAGGTGTCCACTTCTCCCGGCTGCTGTCTGTCCTACATACCCCAAGAGTGGCATTGCTGGGGTCATGTGGTAACCACAGGTTTAACCTTCTGAGAACTTGCCAGGTTGTTTTCCAAAGCAACTGCCCCACTCCGCATTCTCACCGGCTGGATAGTGAGTGCTTTTCCCCACCGCATCACCCACACTTGTCATTGCCTTGTTCATTACTGTCACCTTAATGGGTGTGCAGACCACTGTGTTGTGGTCTGCATTTCCTTGATAACTATGAGTTCTTGATTCTAATGTATTTATCACCCTTTTCCTTTCACGATTATGTGTATGCATACATTATGTAATACTCTTTCATTATTTTCCTCTTCAAGTCTTATAGTTTGACTTTTAGTCTCTTATTGACTTGGAATTGATTTGGGATTCCAGAATCCAGTAAGCTTCTGGTTTAAATCTTTTTCGATATAAGAGGCCAATTACCCAATACCATTCACTGAAGATGGTTTTATACTGAACATGGATTTCCCATGGATTTGGAAGGCTACCTCTCATACACACGAAGCTCCCAGATGAATGTGGGTTTGTCTCCAGGCTTTTCTAATGTCCCATCATGGTGTCTGCATCTCCCCACCTTGGTACTGTTTGAAATCTTGCCATCTAATACAAGAAGTCTAACATTTTACTTTTATTCAAAATCATCCGAGCTCTTCTTGGCCCTTTACTCTGCTATATGAATTTTAGGTCCTACCTGTAAAGTTCTCAGGAAAATCTAGTTGAGTTTTAAACTGGAACTGTACCAAACAGACTACTAATTTGGGGAAAAAATGACATCTTTATAACACTGAGGTCCCCAGTCTCTGAACAGAATCTGTCTTAATTTACTTGGGTTCATTTATCTTTTTCAGTAATTTTTAAAAACTTCTTATGTACCTTACTAGACAGATTCAAAAAATACTGATTTATGCAGCTATCATTGACAGCATTTCCTAAAAATAACGTTTCCTACTGTTGATGTATATAAAAGCAACAGGCTTTGGTACACTGATCTCATTCCAGACACACTGATGAAATCTTTTAAATTCTAACTAGGTTATTTGTAGCTTCTCCTGGATTTTGTGTAGACAGTCACATTGCAAACTAGTAAGTATTTCTTCCTTTCCAGCCCCTATTTATTTTTCTTACAACTTTGACTAAAATCTTCAGTGAAATGATGAAGAGAAGTGGCAACAGTCGATTCCTGCCTTTAAAAGGAATGCTTCTAAATGTTTCAGTATTAAATACCGTGTATGTTAAAGGTTTCTGAAAGAAACCCCTTGCCAGGTTAAGAAAGTACTCCTCGGGGTGCCTCGGTGGCTCAGTGGGTTAAAGCCTCTGCCTTTGGCTCAGGTCATGATCCCAGGGTCCTGGGATCAAGCCCCACATCGGGCTCTCTGTTCAGCGGGGAGCCTGCTTCCCCCTCTCTCTCTGCCTGCCTCTGCCTACTTGTGATCTCTGTCAAATAAATAAATAAAATCCTAAAAAAAAAAAAAAAAGAAATACTCCTCCATTTCAACCATGCAAAGAGACTTTCCTTACAAATAGGAGTTTCATTTCAATGATCCCTTTCTCTGCAACTTATCAACTTTTTCTCTTTGATCTGTTGACATCAACTATATGCTGACATTCTCATGCTAACTCTTATTTGTATTCCTTGGATAAACTTAACATGATTGTGATTTTTTAAAACTACATGACTGGTTTATGTCTGCCACATTTTATCTGGACCTTTTAATTTCTATTCGTAAGAGATAAGAAAATGATCAGCCATGATCACGCTCTCCTTGACTAGTAGGACTAAGTCATCCCAGTATCACGAAATTAACTGAATTATCTGGACATGCATTTTCTAAACTGTGTATAAGATGTGAATCTGTGGGTAAGATATGTATAAGATATGAGTTTTTATTTCTCAGAATC